TTTTTTTTTTTTTTTTTTTTTTTTTTTTTTTCCTTCTTTTCTGGAGTATCCAGGCCGGTAGCAGTAACTAATCTTCTCGTTACATTAGAAGCACCTCAAAGGGTGGGATAACTAGCCCTAAAATTTAACGCGACTATATACACAAGACAGAATTCAAACTTTGACTTTACTTAAACATATATGGATCAACCCTTACCGCTGAACCAAACGCTTGAATTACAACTTGGCCTTAAGTACTCCTCAAACATGCATATATATTACTCCTTTTATATATATAATCTCACATTATTGTGTGCAAAGGAAAATAGTGTGTGAAGAACAAAAACAAGACTCATCTTATTCATTATAATTCTGTGCATATCTAAGAGTGAACATGAAGATGAAGATGAAGATGATGGTAATAAATAAGAATGTGGAAGCAGTGGATGAAGTTAAAGAGAAATAACATCAGTGAAGGGAAGCTCGGTGGGATCAAGCTGGGTTTTGTCCATAAGATTGTTGGAGAGGGTCATGAGACTCCGAATGGGCAAGATGGCCTTAGGGTTAACATCATGCATGGTCCTGGCGAACAAGCACCTGCAAGCTTCACTCGCAGCGTCAAAAAGCTCAACGTCCCTGTTATTAGGGCCCAACAAGCAGTGCCCTAGAATCCTGATAACCGGTTGCAGCAACTCCCACGGCAGAGGAACCCTCCCCTCCACCTCCTTCTCACCACCTTCCGTCTTTCTATACATCTCACCGTCCTGTCCCGCCCACGTCCTGCAGAACTTGCAGAACTCGATCTTCGAGGCCACCGGCATCTGCCAGATTTTCGCGTAGAACAGCTCAAGCGCCACGCCCACGATGCGGGCGCGCCGCGTCGACCTCACGGTGCCATGGGGCTCCAGGGCGGGGGACACCACTGCCACCTCGGGGGTGCCGCTTTTGTTCGGGGCGCCTTTCGCGTCGTGGTAGATGCTGGGGCTTGTGAGGTCGGGGATGGTGACGGAGAGCGGTTGGCCGCCGCGTGAGGTTGTTTCGTGCGCGTAGAGGGCCAGGAGGACCGCCTCGAAGCCGGCCTGGGGCTTCCGGTCGGCCACGCGGGAGAGGTAGACGCCGCCGATGACGGGGAGGAAGCGGAGCACCAGGAGCTGGAGGTCGGCGACGCCCGACTGGAAGGTGTCGTAGAGCCAGCGGCAGAGGTTGTTGTCGCCGGCGCCGGAGTTAGGGTTCCGGAGGAGCGTGGAGATTTGGGAGTAGATTTCGGGGTTGGTTAGGAGGGTGGAGGGGGTGGTTCTGGCGAGGGAGGGCACGATGGCAGAGAGTGAATCGATCGCTCTGACGCTCGCTTCGTCGCCGGACATGGTGTTTCACAATTCACAGATTCAATTTCAGAGACCCTTTCTCTCTCTCTTCTTGTGTGTGGAAAATGAAATCAGAACGGAAGGAGCGGAAAATTAGGAAAATTATTCATTTTTCAAACCCGCATATGCCTCATGCAGATGCTATATCGTTGTTTCCTTTGAATGAATACATGAGATCATATTCATACATAAAATAAGTCAAAGATACGAATTAATTAAAAATTTGTTATCATTCATAATAATAGGTTCGTATATATGCACGATGTACCGGATAATATAAATTATAATATTTAATATATTGTAAATAAAATTTAATTATTTCAAATGAACCATCGTTAACTTAATGGTCGTCAAAGCTCGAACATAATGGAGTGCTAATAAAAATAAATTGTTTAATACTCACCCTTCAATTATAGATTCATATATTACATCAGTGATCAGACACAAAAGTTACTTAGGTTCGATTAATTTGTTAAACTTTTTGGTATTAAATACGAGAAATATAAGTTTTTCACATTTAATTTATAAAAACTATCGGTGAAATATTTTATATCATTATAATTGTTAAGTATCACAATTTTTATATTCTTTAATAATTATTTATAATTGTTGACACTTGATATAAAGAGTAATTATTTTGATCTTTGATATTAAAAAATAAAAATAGAACCTATTCTTCATTTAATGATAAAAGAAAAAAAGAAATGTATACATCAAAATTATATAAAAAAGATTAAAAAAAACTTTATTTTTATATTATATTTTTTAGAAATTATTTTTTTATTTAATAAATAATGAGAAATTTTGTTATATCAAGTGCAAAATACTCAATTTACAAAAATAGCACCGCAACATTATTCTTGTTGTATAATTATACCATCGTCATCATAATTTTTATCACCATTATTGAGTATCATTTATATTCACAATTATTTTATTTTTACTAACATTTTATTTTTACTAACATGTTTAATATTATCGTCATCATCATTATAACTATTATCATTGTTAGTATTGTTACAACCATCACTATTATAATTATTATAATTGTTATTATTGTTATAATCATCATCGTTATATTCTTTATTTAGTGTTATCTTTCGTTTTAAATAGATATTATTAGAGTAATATAATTTTTTTTAATAAATTAAATTAAATATTTTAAAAATTACTTTACACTATCTATATATAGATTTTATTCTCCTCTAAAAATTGAGGGATGAAATCATGTAATGAAAAAAAAAAAAACAGAATTGAGGGATGAAATTAAATAATGAAAAAAAAATATAGCTTTATTATTATTATTATTATTTTTGTGTTGAATTGTCCTGCAAAGCTAGCGAGAAGGTTGTTGGCATATTCTGTACCCAAGCTGTGGATCTCACACTCATTCTTTGTCGTCGCAACACAAACCCTAATTGCTATTCTTATCCCAATCCTCTGCTTCTGCTTCTGCTTCTCAAGGTATTTTTCAATTTCTCTCTCTCTCTCTCTCTCGCATTCCTTCTAATTTCCTCCTCTTTTCCTTTTAATCACCTCAAACTTCACTCATTCTCATTTTTCTGCGATTCTTTTGGCAAATTTAGGATTCCTCTACCCTTCATTTGTTCACCGATTGTTTCTCAGCTTAGGGTTAACTTTAGGGTTTCGCTCTTTCCCGATTTGTTATTTTCCTCGGCTTCGGTTTGTTACGTTTCGGGGGTTTGAGCTTTCAACCCTTTTGATTCGTAAAGTAGGATCCATATTTTTTATGGCATTTGAGTGCCCAAAGAGTACAGAGGTTTCGCAAAATTTGGTACGCTTTGTAGCAAATCCAGGCATAGGCATAGTTGAACAAAATCACCTTAGTTCCAAATCCCTCACCGAAGGAATAGCAACCTCAAATCTTGTTCCAGATACCAAACCTGAATCTGGGAAGGGTGTGAAGTTAAAGGGAGCATCCAAGATTAATTCCAAGAAAGGAATCAAAGCCTCGGCCAAAGCATTGAACCAATCATCAATTCCTGGTGATGTGAATTTTGATTGTGGTTTGTCCATCACTGACCTACCTGTGACGTTGATATCTGAGATTCTCAATTGCCTTGACCCCAAAGATCTAGGCGTTGTTTCGTGTGTCTCCACGATTTTCCAGGGAGTTGCGTCCGAGCACCATGCTTGGAAGCAATTCTATTGTGAAAGGTGGGGGCTTCCAACAGCTTCCTTGCCTGTGGATTCAGGTGTTGAGGATGATAAGTCATGGAAGGAACTTTTTGTGGAAAGGGAGTTTAGGAGTAAGACTTTTATGGGACGGTATAGTATTGATGTCTTGTATGGCCACACTGAAGCAGTTCGGACTGTTTTCCTATTGGCTTCTGCGAAGCTCATATTTACCTCTGGGTATGACTCTGTTGTGAGGATGTGGGACATGGAGAATGGGTTGTCAATTGCATCGTCACGGCCCCTTGGCTGCACCATTCGTGCCGTTGCAGCAGATAGAAAACTGTTGGTTGCTGGCGGTACTGATGGATTTATTCATTGCTGGAGGGCTGTTGAAGGACTGCCTCACCTGTTTGAGCTTAGAGCCTCACAAAACCAGAATAGTGAGGTTCGACTTTGGGGACATGAAGGCCCGATAACTTCACTTGCTTTAGATTTGACAAGGATTTACAGTGGTTCATGGGACACCACTGTTCGAGTGTGGGACCGTAATTCAATGAAGTGTACTGCAGTGATGAGGCACAGCGACTGGGTCTGGGCGCTTGTCCCTCATGATACTACTGTTGCCAGCACATCAGGTTCAGATGTGTATGTTTGGGATACTAATAGTGGGGCTTTGATGACCATTGTTCACAATGCTCATGTTGGTAATACTTATGCTTTGGCACGGAGCCATACAGGGGACTTCCTTTTCACTGGAGGTGAAGATGGTGCAATTCACATGTATGAGATTGTAAATGATGGTTATGAGTCTAAATCTTGGCATGTTGCTGCTTGGGTTCCTCACTCAGCTGCTGTGTATTCCCTTGCCTTTGAGTTTCCATGGCTTGTTTCAGCATCAAGTGATGGCAAGTTGGCTCTAATTGATGTGAGAAAGCTGCTGAGGACTAGCAGGCGAGCTCTAGGGAAGAGAGTTTCGAAGGTAAAGCGTTTGGGTGGAGACACGGTTGAGCCTCCTCAGAGGATGTTGCATGGATTTAAGAGCAATCTTTTCTCCGTGGATATAGGAGCTGATCGAATTGTCTGTGGAGGTGAAGAAGGTGTTGTTAGGGTCTGGAATTTCACAGAAGCCTTGGAAATTGAGCGAAGAGTCCGAGCATTAAGAGGTATACGATTGGAGAACAGAATGAGGCGGCGAAAGCTCCAAACGGAGCTGAGTAATAAAAGTGGTCGGAGTGAGCAATGCTCAGTTGCAGCTAAGAAGAATTCTGTTACATGTATTTGGCCCAATAAACGGGGGATGAGCGGAAAGCTTAAAGCATAGTGACTGAGGAGGCCATCTAATATTTGCTTTTATGCACCAACTGCCAATCTATTTTTTTCTTCTCATTTTACAAAATTGATGTATACCATTTTTAGTTTCAAGCAGCGAAACTGACCGATTTAAGTTTCTCTCTGCACATTATGATATTATTAGTGTCTGTAGGTAGTGGTCAGATCAGACTACTTGCATGTACATCTCAAATGGTACGATTCTGAAATGATAGTGTTTCTTTCTGATTCTGACTTCTGAGATTTGTTTTTACACAAGTTATTTCTACTAGAATTGTTTGATAACTCGAATCGACCATCGATTTTATTAGATTCAGAATGCTTTGTCATGATAGAATGCTAGAGTGGGCTCAACGACTCAGAGTTCTATGAAACTAATAGACGAAAAAAGTTTATGGCACTCGGTCTTTACGTTCTTGGATGATGAGCTTGTACTTAGATGCACTTGTTACTCTCCGAATCAATTTGTTGAGTTTAATATTTTCAATCTTTTGCCATTGCATATCGTGTCAAGCATGACGACGTAGATGTGTGCATCAAAACCATCAATCATCTTCGGAAAGAAAGTTATACAATAACGAAGGACGAAAGAAATGCAATTGTATCTCCAATTTTTGTTTTGCATGGGGTAGTGTCTTTTTTATTTATTTTTTATTTTTATATATACATTCATAGAGTAGTGTCTGCGATTGGCGCATCATATTTATCAAAATGACACTAGTTGTGAGCACATCTACTGTTCAATCTACATAGAAATCTCCGTTCTACAAAGGAAGGACTATAAACTAGCGTTTATTAATAATAACTGAAATCGGTTAAGTTTATCACCCGAGGTCAGATCAACTTCAGATTATTTGTAGTTGAAAATACTATCTTTTAATTTATTTTGAAAGTGCTATGGAACTGATTGAATACATATATTTTAAAAACACTGAAGAAAAATAAAAAAATTGAAATATACTTTTCAATAAATTAAAATTAGTTTATATGTATTAGTTAATATTTTTTAGAAAAGCTAATATGAAAAAACTTCAAATTATTTAGTTTATGAAGAAATTTATTTTATTTTTTCTTAATATTTTTCTTGAAATGCTTTGAAAAAAGTTTATCTAAATAGAACTTTTGACTTTTTTATTTCCTGTTGTTTTAACCTTCTGTAAATAAATATAAATTTTTCTTATGAAGGTTGTTGAGAAACACGAAAAATGTGACATGTTACATAAAGGAGGGTGGTGAGTACATACTTGTCCAATGACAGCACAGTAGGTAATGAACGAAGTTGTTTTCCTTCCTCTATGATCAAATGGGAAAGCTTAAAAAAAATATCAACTGTTTATTTGAAACTATCTCAAGTAATTATTGTTGCACCAGAAAATATGATCAATGCTACAGTCAAAATACCTTGTAAGTTATAACTCTAGACTGATATAATCGTGGAAACTGAAAACTATTCGTTTTCTCCCATTTTGGAGCAAATAAACAAGTTCCCTTACTCCTTACTTGAATGGTTTAGCTGTAACACCGTCGTTATAGCATATCAAATCCATTCTTACATAGAAGGTCAAAGCAATTTGAGTGACCAAAGGGAAACAGTGGGAAATCAATATGAGAAGAAGGGTTGTTGTCGTTCATCATCTTCCTGCAGTTGTTTTGCTATTGAGCATTCTCAGCATAGTTCATGGGCACTACGCAGACACACCGTCTACCACTGCTAATGTGGAGAATGGCTCACATGTATCGGCATTGTATGTGTTAGGGGATTCCTCAGTTGATTGTGGAGACAACACTCTGTTCTTCCCCCTGCTTCACGGTCGTTTCTCTTTGTACCCATGTAACGGCTCTGATGCCACCCTTCTTCCTCAACTTCTTGGTACTTCTCTGTCTTTCTTTTTCCTGATCATTTTCACTCTGCATTTGTGGTTCAAGGAAATTGGCTGACGCAGATGAAATCCCACATGCAGGACACGCAATAAGTTATAAGTCGGAACCATTACACTTGTGACAGGATAAAATAAACCCTCTTTTAATGATTCTAAAAATTTTACACATGTCCTATGGTGGTGAATGAAAGCACATTTCCTTTTCTTTTTTCTGCACAATGTGATCTGAATTAATGTATGAAGATAGCAGTCCATTTGTTGGAGCAATTTATCCCAGAATCATGATCTATAATCTCTAGTTAAGCAAGTTTTCCTCTGGTTTCTACTAAAATTCGCAGTCTGTAGTTTCTCGTCTTATGCACTAAACCTGGGAACTTGATATTACATAGCCTTGAAAATTGAGGAGTACAAATTAGCTGCTACTTCTGCAGAAACTTTTAAATATTGACTTATAACTTGATTTAAACCAGTCTTGCACTAATTGATGTGATGGAATCATTCTGTTGCAGCTGAGAAGATTGGATGGACATCAATCCGGCCATTTTATGGACAAAATGGATCTCTGGAGGAGGTTATTGATGGTCTCAATTTTGGGTCAACACAAGCTACAATCATGAACCAGGGAAGCTATAGCCACCAGTCTCTTAACCAACAACTACGCCAAGTTTCAGAGACCATGCAGCTGTTGCAACTGCAGCTGGGCGAGGACACTGCTCTCCAATTTGCAAAATCCTCCATCTTTTTCCTCTCCTTTGGCAAAGAAGATTACATTGATCTATTCCTCAACAACTCTTCCAAACAAATGTTGCAGAACGGTACCAGATATTTTGCTACCATTTTGGTCAACCAAATGGCAAATGCTGCAAGGTATCTTTATGATGCAAATGCGAGGAAAATCATATTTTTGGGAATCCTGCCTTTGGGATGCACGCCTCGCTTGGCCTGGGAGCTGAATGGTACATTAGCCAGAGACTATAATGGAAATGGTTGCGTGGAACATGTCAATGACTTGGTCTCTGAATACAATAGATTGCTAGATGAACAAATAGCCAAACTTAATACAGAATTTTCTGATGCTCAGATGGTGTTCTGTGATGTTTACAATGGAACAATGGAGATTATCAACCAACCAAGGCTTTATGGTATGTTTTTTCTCCCTTGATAACTTCACATTGAAGATATATACTAAAATGGCAAAAGATGCAAAATTGTAATGCCAGAATACAAAATCAATCAGGGGGAAGGTCTAGCTAACAGAATCTGAGATATTCTTTGCTGAATGTTGAGTATCTTAAAGCATTTGAAATCTCTTTGGGGTTCTAAGAAATTATATCAAGTGTTCTTTCATGTACAGGTTTTGAAGACGTGAAGAGTGCATGTTGCGGACTTGGTTTGAATGGTGCCATGATAGGGTGCATCTCCATGGACATGGCCTGTAACCAAGCTTCAACTCGTGTATGGTGGGATTTGTTTAACCCTACTCAAGCAGTCAACAAAATCCTAGCTGATGCAGCCTGGTCTGGGCAACCAATACCTGATCTTTGCCGTCCTATCACCATTTATGAATTGGTTAACATGAAAGTCTAGCATTTCCTGTTGCTCCACCATCCCTGTAGCTTTCATGTCATAAAACTTGCATTACCTAAAACTCTCTCAAATGTACCAAGTTTCATAAATAAAAGTTTCAGATCAATTTGTAGTAGTTAATTTTTGCAATAACTCAATGCCGTACAGAGAGAAACAGGTCACTGCTGAAACCATTTCTTTATTAGAAACCAACATCACAAAATGGGTTTTGGTGCTGGCATCATTTGTCTTTGTCCTCTGGAGCATGTATTAACAATATTATAAGAACATGAAAAAGATACCATGTGTGCAACTTTACTAAAGAAAATGTAAAATATTATACTCACGGAGGGAGCAAAGTGGCAAACCCTAATTCAAAGATATTGATCCGAAATCCTAACTCACTCTTCATTCATCATTCTCCATGGCTGCCAAATTTCAAACTAGTTTTTGTTTACCTTCAGTCTCCACTCCAACCACAAAACGCAAACCCTACTTCCACTCCCTCACAATCTCAGCCTCCAAATCCATCTCCGGCCGCAAGCTCCGGGCGGCAGTAATCGGCGGCGGCCCCGCCGGATCCTCCGCCGCGGAGGCCCTAGCATCCGGCGGCGTCGAGACCTTCCTCTTCGAACGAAACCCGCCGTCGGTAGCGAAGCCATGCGGTGGCGCCATCCCTCTCTGCATGCTCGAAGAGTTCGACATTCCTCACCACCTCATCGACCGCCACGTCACACGCATGCGCATCTTCTCCCCTTCCAATATCGCCGTCGACTTCGGCAAAACCCTAAAACCTCACGAGTTCATCGCCATGCTCCGACGCGAGGTCCTCGACTCCTTCCTCCGCTCCCGCGCCCACGCCGCTGGCGCCACCGCAGTCGACGGCCTCGTCACCGGCCTCGACCTCCCAGCCTCGCCGTCAGCCCCCTACACCGTGCACTACACGGCAAACGGCTCCTCCCGGAAATCACTCACCGTCGACGTCGTGATCGGCGCAGACGGCGCCAACAGCCGCGTCGCGAAGGCAATCGGCGCCGGCGACTACGCCTGCGCCATCGCGTTCCAGGAGCGGATCAAATTACCGGACGAGAAAATGGCGTACTACGAAAATCTCGCGGAGATGTACGTAGGCGATGACGTGTCACCAGATTTCTACGCGTGGGTTTTCCCCAAGTGCGACCACGTGGCAGTGGGCACGGGTACGGTGCGGGCGAAGAAAGACATTAAGGTGTACCAGCGCGGGATCAGGGA